TTGATTATTTGCAAAATATTGAAATTAAAACAAAATTTATGGAAATTGAAAAATTATGAAAAAATTAAGTGACTTTTTGTGAAAAAAAATTTTTTTTTAATATGCTGTATGGCCACCTCGGACATATATGCATACCTCACATTTTGATTTCATAAACTTTACTAAAGGGTTGATCAAGTCTTGTGGAATTGCATGCCACTCTTCTAAAAGTGTACTTTTCAGCTGCTGGAGGGTCCGGGAAGGAATTAGGCACCATGAAATTCAGTGGCCTAGGGCATCCCACACATGCTCAGTCAGGTGAGTAAGGTGGCCAACCTATTCAAGTGGTATCAACTGTTTGCAAATATTCAGACACCACATATGCTCGATGAGGCCAAGCATTGTCATTCATTAGCAAAAATTCTGCACCAACAGCACCCCTAAATTGTCTGAATTGGGGTTCCAATACCTTGTCCACATATCTCTGAGTGGTCACAGAACCTCCTCAAAAGATATGCAACTTGCAGCCATTTGCCATGATTCCTCCCCAAACCATTAAACCGCAGTCATGGAAACGGGATATTTCATGGACAAGCAAAGGCAATGCTCCTTCTTCTCTTCAGATCAAAACATGATTAGAATCACTGCTCAGATTATATCTAGACTCATCAGGAAACAAGACGTGGACCCAGTAATCTATTCTCCATTGAACATGACGACGGCACCAGTTTAAGCAGGTCCTTCTGGAAGTTGGAGTGAGTAGGACGTAAACCATTGTTTTTCTCGCATACAATCCAACTTCAGTAAGCCTTCATGCAGCAATAGAATGGCTAATTTGAGTTCCTGTTGCAGCCTGAAGGTCTAAAACCAAATTTCTTGTAGTCGCTTTGTGGTTTCTTCAAGCTGACAACTGCAGAAAATGATCTTCTAATGCAGTTGTTGCTCTTGGTCACCCTTGACCAGACTGTCTGTCAACTGATCCAGTGCTTGAAAAGCAGCTCCAAACTCTTGATATGACATTTTGAGGGATGTTCAAATATTGGGCAACATCCATTTGTATTTGACCTCCCTCAGTTCTATTAATTATTTGTCACTTTTGACCTTCCCTTAAATCAGGGTTTCTTTAAGTATGGGTCGTATGCAAATGAAAATTTTGGGGTCAGGAAAATTCAGTTTGATAGTTGAATTTAAACAAACTGCATTCATAAGACTTTTAAAGAAATTACGTTAACATTAATGAGATTAGACTTTTAAAGACGTTGCATTAATTGATATTAAAGAGATTAAATTACCTAAAATGCAAAAGAATTTGTAAAGCTATCTAATGATTCAAACTTGAAACTTGAGTTTTCGCAAAAATCCTTGATGAATTTTGGACCGGAGTTAGAATTAGATTTCTCACTATTTCCGAAATGGCATTAAATGTTCTTCTATCATTCAGCACCACATATTTTTATAAAACTACTTTTTCAGCTTTAACGCTAATTGAAACCAAATGTTGTACAACGTTGAGACATGTAGAAGATGCTTTAATGTCCAGCAGTGTCAAATATTGCACCAAAATTTAATTTGTTATGCAGCAGAAAACAAGCACATCTGTCTCATTAGAATTTTTAATTTTTGCTTGCTTAAAATAACTCCTAAACTACTTCTTTTTATATGTATATTGTTTACCAAAGAAGTAAATTATTTACGGGAGGATATTAATTTTTATATCTTTAATTTATATTTAATATCTGGGATCGTGAAAAAAAGTGTCAGTGATAAAAAGGGGTCGCGACTGAAAAAAGTTTAAGAAGCCCTGCCTTAAAACTTTGCAGCATAGTGTGTTCGGTCTGGTCACGCCTAAAAATTTCCTTCTGTATGCTCAGTAAAATTGAATGAAAAAGGATTTATAGGTTACTATAGGTTACTCTGAACCTTCTTTATTTATAGTAGACGGCAGCTCAACGCATATTTTAGCCATGTTTAGTTTTTTAAGACCCTCATTTTTCAAAATCTTCCAGATTTTTTAGGTATAAAAAATTGTTGAAAAAATTTCTATGTTATTTTTGCGTGTCTCTCCTTATTCTATATAGTTTTAAATTTTACCTTGAAATCTTGCCTAAATCAAATGGCGAACCTAGGTGTGCAGAGGGCTCACCGATATCTAGGACACGAGAGCTGTATTCTTTGTTGCTCATCTCATCGGTCAGTTCATTGACAATGCTCGTTTCAGCACTCTTTTCGAAGCTCTTCACTCAGTGTGCCCACTTTGGGCACACCCACGGAATTAAAACGATAAGTGCTATCTTCACAAAATTTTACTTGTGTACTCCTGTAACCCTAATTAGACTGCCTACCTTTTTTTTTTTTAATCAAAACTCCAACGTTAAAAGGTAGCGTGCTGGAAAGGGTTAAATGATGCCTTTAACCATAACTACTGAATATTGATAACTCTCAGAAACTACATTCATTTTAAACAACACTACAGATCGTAACTCCAACATGCATCTATTGCACGCCACTTTTGTCAGTCACTGAAATTTGCATATTTCTTATGCTGATGTACATGTGTATGTGCAATTTTGTATTCAATTGTACTACTTAACATAAATAATTGCAGCATTGGGCACTGGTTGTAACATTAACTTCATGAGCATATTTTCACATTATCCTTTAGCTTTGATGACCAGTGAATGTACATAAAAAATTGAATATTAAAACACCAGAAAACGTTTAATGTTCGCTTTATTTTAATACTCTTGTTTCTCATTTTACTTCTACTTCATACTTCAACATGCATTTATAGTTCTTATTTTTTTTTATCGTGTTCATTATGGATAAAAATGCAACAAATTAGCACAGTTAATTTTTTATGGATTATAAACATCTGAAGTTTTATAATTACTATGTACATGAGATGAATTTAGTGCTAGAAGAGTAGCACATTTGATTCTAGTGTGTTAGTTTAATATAATTGCATTTATTGTGATTTATGATGGTAAAATGTATATCTTTGTATATAATGATTGTAATATTTATCTGATTAATTTCTTATTATGCAGTCCTTCCTTATGTAGTTAGAAATGAAAAACCACCAGTTGTGAAAATACTAATGTGCAGAGTGTTTGAGATTGTCTACAAGTAAAAACACTTGAGTGTCTGAATTTAATACAAGTGTCATCATGCTTGCTTTTTATTATATGATTATCAGTTCCAGCAGTTATTATATTTATATGGGAAAATATTTTTCCCATGTCATTTATTTTGGATCCGTTTTGTTATAAAACAATGCGTGGCAAGAAATTTTCTGTAAAAAGCAGAGTGTCAATTATTTTAATCTGTGGATTAAAAAAAAAAACTATTGATTAAAATTGGATATTCTATGTTTTTTAATGATGGAAAAGATGTTGAAATTAAAGCTCAAAGTAGTGTGTAATACTTTAAAAAAGATTTTACTTACTGAGTAATAAAAATTAAAAAAAGAAGCTTTTTAAAGAAGTAAAGGTAAATCCTGATTATATGCACCCTTGCCAAAAAGTCAAAAAGTATTCATGAGGCAAAGTGGAATGTTATCTGAATAGTTATTTGGCCACCCATGATGTCACCAAAAAATTGAAGGTAATTGATTTTATGTTTCCTTACAATTTTGATTAAGCGGGACTTGATAATGGTATTAATTATTTATAGTTTTTTAATAGTAGATTGCATCACTGTGTTACATATAACACCTGTATGTACACTACTACCAAAATTGCTGCATTCTGAAGGAAAACAGATAGGAGAATCCTACTTGCTTCACAAATGCAGTATAGCAAACAAACAAACAAACAACAACAACAAAAATTAAATTTGTTAAATTTCAGGCAGTTTTGAGGTACAGAACATGCAAAAATTAGAAACTTGATTATCTGTTTCTTACAACACAATAGCAGCTGATATGTGGGTTGACATAGAGTTGAATAGACTCTGGATGGCATTTGCAGGTACTTTAATCTTTGCAGCTTCAATTCTGTGCTGGAGTTCATATGTCTTACTTGCTTGCAGATATTGTTATTCCAACTTATCTGATTTCATTGACCACACATTTTTTAATTAACTAGAGATTTGTAGAACTTGCTGGCCTAGACAGGAATCAAACACAGTGTGTGTTGAGTAAATATGTGACAGTGTGCGTAACATGGGATTTTGCATGTGTTGGAAATAGGGCATTAGAGACCTCAAAAATAAGGCACAGCCACTGTCCATTTAAATTTCAGTAAAAGGACAGTGACCAGATATATAGTCTAGAGATAAATGGGATGTGTACCTATACTATTAATTATAAATCTAGGCTGATAAATGCAAGCTTCTAATGTTCATTCTGCATGCAGGTCTTCACGCAGAGATATGGCCATCACGATACTGTATGCAAAATTGTGATTCGACGTCATGCCATTAATGTATTCAAGTGAGAAAATGATTTCTGTATTGTAGCGTCAAGGGAAGACAAAACAATGTTCGTCTTGCTGATAATCTGTGGCACTGCAGCTATTGCCACCCTGTATGTGCAGATGCTCTGGGCCATGCAACAAGCTCGGTTTCTCGACCCAGGGCCCCTGATATTACTATTCAATACCTAATCAGAGTGCAAACAAGAATTCTATCTCTTGGGCATTGAAATCCCTCACATTACTGTATGTCGTTGTTCTGGACCCATTGATTGCAAATTCCTGTAACAGTTACTGGTTCTCAACCAAGTGGTGCAAGCAGCAGTTGTACAGTAGAATAATCTACTGTTCCAGGCTGCTTGCAATTCTTTCATGACCAAAATCTGAGCTGTGCTAATATGAGTTCCTTCATATTTGTATGACAGCAGTATAAAGAAGAATTTCTCAAAAATAACCGATATTTCTTTTTAAAAAATTTTATTGATTGACTGCTTTTATATGGAAATACTAGTTTGTTGCTAGTTTAAATATGGTTCTTGCCTTTCACACGTTAGCTCTCATCTCTGATTTGACGAAAAATGTGTCAGCAATGAGTTTGCAACTTTTTGATGAGGATGTGGAGAGTCAGAAAATACCTTTCCTTGATGTTCTAGTTAGCTGTAGTGAATTTGATTTTGATACTACTATTTAGCTTGCGTTCCCCCCCCCCTATATGTGTTCTCCATGCTAAATTGTGTTACTCTGCTAAGCAAAAAATTTCTTTTAGCCGTTATGTTTATATTATGTTGTTAAGGCCTGTATTTCACAAACTTCGCTTTTTCATCAACTCATGTTTTGGGAATAGATTGCCATTAAAAAAGAATGTTCTTCTATGTTCATTAGTAAAGCTTTTAAAAAAATTTCTTTATCAAGAAAGGCATTTTGCTATTACAAATAACTGTAATAATTTTGTCTTTCTACTATCTTTTTATCAGTAACAGAACTGCTTGGATTTTCAGGTCATTTTTTCATTTATTGATAAAACTTCTTTGATACTGAAATTCTCATCTCTGATTTTAATTCTTGATGAATGTATGACTATATCGGTATGTTGAATGTAGGAATATGTATATCTTGTCGGTATAGTTTGACATATATTAGCCACACAATGAAATGTAAAACAGCATTAAAATTTCTTGTCAAGTAGCATGAATCTATGTTCAGAAAGAAGAAATGAACAAACTATCTTTAAATTAATCTTCACTATCTAATCATTGCTGGGCATTTAATCACACTTTTGACCTCGATTCTGGGAGAATTATTCATAAAGTTGATGAATTGGATTTCCTTAAATGTTTCATATTCACAAAGCTTTTATCTTTAGTAGTTAATGACATTAATTCTAATTTAATTCCTTCTAACATTTTCAGAATTCTAATATCTTAGTTTTTCATGCTTAATTACTATTATCCTTAACAGAATATGTTGTGTTCATTTTTGCTTTGTTCTGGGCATTTCTTTTAATATAAAATATTAGTCCTAAATCCCATTTTTTTTCAAAAATGCTTTTGCTTCCAAGGAAGCGGAACCTGTGTCTGACTACATTCAAAACTGATAGTTATATTCAAAATTGACACCAAAATAAGCTAGTTATTTTGCATAATGCTAAACACATTGTTAGCTGGTGTGCATATGTTATATAACTATTATTGATTTCTATTCTCTGTTTCAGACTTATGGATGTCAAAAATATGACAGATAATTTTAAGTTTGGAGAAAACCTTTTTCTGGGCAATAAGTATGCCAACATAGCGAGAGAACCATTTGAAGCTTGTAGTGTTGGAAGAGGAAAAAATTGAGGAATTAATGTGCGTGAACTTCTTTGATTAATAATTGATAAGCTCTTGACCAGTTTCAGAGGCTTGGAAGCAGGAGTTGAGAATGTGAGTGCTGTCATGCAGCGGGTTGATTAATAATTGACAGATGTATAAAAAAAAAAAAAACAGTTGGGGAGTTATATATTGAAAACAATGTAGCAGTTTGATCTGAATTTGACTGAGCAGCTTACCATTCATATGCATCAATGATTTCATGCAGAGCAGTTGTACATTTTATATTTTCTAAAGCTATCCTAAATGCTAAATCGCAATATAGAGTAGGTTATGGCTATGGAAGAGGCAAGTGAACATACACCTACTATTTTATGATTTTGGACATACAAAAGAAGAAAATCTTCTTAGACTGATACATGAAAATTGATTTGATTGCATGCAATGTTCTAAAATGTGGAGATAGCATGCGCTGGTATTAAAGAGACATATTGAGGGATTTTGATGTAGTCACCGAAACAAAAGCAGTGTGAATCCGCATAGTGTTTGTTGTAATTTTCAGAGAGTCTGATGGCTTAACCACTTATTAGAGTATTTTTGGTATTCTAAAGATAACAAAATATTGGTTTGAAAGGTATACAAATGAATTTGTTATGAGTTTGTTATTTCTAATTCAGAAGTCAAACAACAAAAATCAGCGTTAATTTACAAAATTTGTTGTTTGACTTCTGAATTAGTATTTATTCGGCGTGTTATTATGCCTTAATTTGTTATTTTAGTTAGCCATCATTAAACTGTATCTGCCAATGCAGAAAATGTGCTGGAAAATTCAAGTAAATTATTCAAGTAAAGTCTATCTTTTTAGTGTGGTGCCCTTTAATGTCTGTTTCCACACAATGTCTCCTGGAATTGTAAGTATTCTGGAAACACTGCATTAACTTGAAATTCTCAAATTTGTCATTTTTTAAAATAATGCCAAACACTGGGATAAAGCATATTTTCACTTGTTGAAGCCATAACTATGTGTTCGTGATTCTTTCATATATTTTTTTTATTAAGAACTGTTGTGATAACTAAACTTAATATATTGCTTTCAACAAAGCAAAACGGTCTTAAAAAATAGAGACAAAGTTATGCCGAAGCATGGCCTTGTTTATTTGCTTGAAACTTGTTAAAGATCTCAAAATTTCAATAGTAGGCTGTTGTAAAACATGCAACAAAATTGACTTTCTCAGGTCAAGGATAGTAAGATGGGAAAATATATCTTATTCTTTTGTTTCTTGTGCAAAATTGTAAGGAAGGTTTCTTTTAGGAGGGTGTAATGTCCTATTTACACTGTTGAATCCCTTCCCTGCAATATGAAAATGCTTGAGTGTCACATAAAGTATTACAGAAAGTATTATTGACAGCTTTCCGGAGAGGTTAGAATCTCTGTATTTATATTGCTTGTATTTCTAATATTAGTCCTAACTTAGTTTTTATTTCTCTCTCATCTCAAAACATAAAGTTTCATGCATTATTAAAAATAATAAAAATATGTATATATTTAAGATAGATTTTTATTGTAGGGTTTGGCAGTTGTGTGTTGCTTCTTGTTCCTTCACCTCTTACATCCCGATTATGCGGCTTTTTGTATCCCTCTTCCCAACAAATTGACTTATCTACAAAAAGGAGTTTTTATTTATCTTGCTGTTTGAATAAAGATGGTAAACTTCGAAATGAAACCACTGAATTGCCTACTTCTGAAACAGAAAACAAGGCTCATGAATCAAAGGCAGTATCAGCCAAGTCACTGGAAAGTATGTAATACTCAGTTACATTTTCAAATTGTAGCAGATATAGTTTTATAATAATTTATATAAATTAAAGTGTATAATTTGGCATAAATATTTGTAAAATTTTATGTTAGTGACCAAAAGTGTTACAGTTTGGGGAATCTCTGTGTTATAATGAATTTTTATCTTTATTGTAATTAAAAACTCATTTTTCATTTTCAGAAATGATGCAAACTTTTTTAAGTGTTTGAGAATAAGTTGGCATAAAACTTAAGTTATGCGGGATGAATAATTTTTTATACACATTTCAAAATTAAGTAAGGAGAAAAATTACATAGGAGACTAGAAGTATTAATTAAATAAATTAACTGAAGTTAAATTATTGATTAGTTAGCTCATCCTCTAAATGCCTATGAAGTAACAGTTCTGTTAGCCTATGAAGTTTAACAGTTCTGTTAGCCTATGAATGCCTATGAAGTAACAGATGTGATTAATTAAAATGGTGAAGCATATGACTAAAGTCCAACCTTAAAAATAAAAATTATTTGATGAAATTTTTCAAAGAATGTAACAATTATTAAATGTAAACATTAAATTTGTCATGTAAAACAAGTAGGTAAAAAAGGGAAACTATATTCATTTAATAATTTTTCAAACTTCTGTTTTTAAAATTACTGGTAGCATTTAAAGAAATTTGATTAATGGGGCAAAATTTAATTTTAGGTATACCATAAAATGCAGTAAGTGTTAAAATAACACAAACAGTTTTTAAGACCAAAGATAATGTTAAATATATGTAATTCTAGATAATTAACATAATAAAATAAGAATTAACCTTCAAAGTCTCAGACTTGTTTTACATTCAAAAGACTTTGTTCACTGGTGTGCTTTTCAGCTAGCAAAATGGTGCAGTTTTTGTTAATTTTCTGTTAATTAATTAAGTAGCAGAATCTGAAATATAAAAATTTTGTTGCAGGAAACAGATTCATCTTTTTATATAAGAGCTATTGGTTTTGTGCAATGAACATAGCTGCTTGGTTGTCTACTTTTATAACTGAAGGCAATGAAATAAACTTCAACATCCTCAGTTCCTTCAACAGTTCCCTTATCCATAAAATTTCCTTTTATGGATATTCGGCTTTAGCCAACGATAGGGCAACAGCTGCTTCTTACTGCACCAAGATATTGCAACACCACCTAAGATCAGAACATATCCACTGATGGACTTTCTGTCGACATTGTCAGCACACCAGTTAGCATCAGAGAATGTTTCAGTGGCTCTTCCTGTTTTTCTGAATGTAAGGGATATATGTTTCGTCTCTTTAAGATAGCAGAAAAGATGTTTAACACTCCTCCAGTGAAATTCAGATGGCTTCTCATTAAACTGGCTCATATAGGTTGCACTAAATGCAATATCAGGACAAGCATATCCGCAAGCATGGTATAATAGGCTACCTATGGCTTGCCTATACGGAATTTGGTCACTTTCTGCTTTTATACCTCTCCACTCTTCATCATCTAGCTTTTGGAGTTTTACGGTGGGATTCATAGGTGTTGATGCTCCCCTGACTGATTTTAATTTGAAGCCTTCCAGAATTTCTTCTACATAAGCTGTTTGATCTAGTGTTAAGGTGCCATCAGTATGCTTCTGGATCCTCATAGATAGTATTTCATTTACTTCATCAAGGTCTCTCGCTTTTAATCTTTGCACAACGTTATGCTTAAATGTGATTATTTCCTGTAAGGTCCCAACAATTAACATGTCATCTACATAGATACCAAGATATAATGCTTTGTTTGGATGGTAATATATGCATGGATCGTTTTGAGCGTGACAGTTCACAATTCTTCAAGAAAGTATCAAAGCATTCATTCCATTGTCTTCCTGATTGCTTTATGCCATAGAAGCTTTTCTTTAAATGGCACACTATATGCTCTTTACCTTGCTCTTGAGATTCTTCAGGTTGTGCCGTATATTGAATATCCATATATATATATATTGAAAAAGAAAATGTAAAGCTAACTTGTAATTAGACGTAAGACCTATCTGGTCTCAAAAACTTTTGCACATAATGCTGCAAAAAGATTTGAAAGAATAGTAGTAGGTAGGAACATTGCAGCAAACTTGCTAAAAAGTTACCAGGAGCTGTAGCTCCAATCCATTTGATGAATTTCCGTAACTTGACAGCGAGGGCTAGAAGGATTCTTATAGATTTTATCTTTACAACAGGGGAGAAAGTCTCTGAAAAATCTCTACCAGGGATTTGTGAGTAGCCTTTAGCTACTAATCGAGCGTTAAATTTGATTGTCTCTCCTTCTGCATTGTGTTTTCTTTAAATACCCATTTGCATCCTATGGGTTTGATGCTACTTGGCTTTGGAACCAATTCTTATGTCTAGTTTTCGTACAAATTAGTAAAAATCTTCCTTCATGGCTTCTTTTACACTTGTTGGGTTTTTACAGATTTTGATGGCAGGTTGTTCTGCACAAACAGCTTTATATAATACTGGATCCCCATAGTAAGTCTTAGGTCTCCTTTCTCTAGTGCTTTTCCTAATTCCAATAGGGTCTTCCTTACTACTACTATCAGAATCTTCCAGGAATGCTGATTCTGTATCTTCAATTTCTTTTGCTTTGTCATTTAATGGGGTTTCAACATCATCGACTCCTGTGATGGTGCAACTGATGGGTACTTCTAATGGAACAACATTTACTTCAGTATCAGAATTATACTCATGATTTAAGTTAAAGGTCACTTCATTTTCCTTCTTTGCTTGAGTAGCTGTCTGGCTCCTTAATAGAAAAAAAGTCTCATCAAATTTAACATTTCTGCTCACTAAAAACTTATTTTCCTCTGTATTCCATAGTTTGTATCCTTTCATGCCTTCTGGGTATCGTATAAAGACACATTCTTAAGCACGTTTCCCTAACTTTCCTTTCTGTAGCGTTTTATCAATTTGAGAAAAACTCTACAGCCAAAGATTCTCAGGGTACTAATTTGCACGGGCTTCTTGGTCCAGAGTTCTTCAGGTATGTTTCCTTTGGTAGCTTTTGATGGACACTTGCTGCACAAATAACAGGCAGTAGTCACAGCATCTGCCCACAATTCTTGTGAGATGTTGGAATCTAGGAGAAGACATCTAGTCATATCAAATAGAGTATGGTTCATTTTTTCTGCAACTCAATTTTGTTGTGGTGTCCAGGGAACTGTGAGTTGTCATGTTATTCCACTCTTAGTTAGGAAATCGTCAAATTCATTGTTGACATATTTCCCTCCATTGTCGCTTCGTAGAGTAGTAATTTTGAGTCCCTGGAAATTTTCAACATTTGTTTATATTCCATGAAATTTCAAGGACTTGATCTTTAGATTTCATAGTTTTAACCACAGCATACCTTGAGTGGTCATCAACAAAGGTAATGACATACTTTGATCCACCTTTTGATGTAGGTGTGATAGGTCCAATTACATCAGTATGTATCAATTGAAGTAATCTATTTGAACGTTCGGCTTTTTCCTTGGGAAATGGAGTCTTCTTCATTTTCCCCAAAACACATATTGGGCAAACATTCCCCTTTTCTTGGATTTTTTCACACGTCATATTTGAATCATACCTTTTCATAAGTTTCTTAACTGCATCATGGTGGAAATGTCCTAATCTTTGATGCATAATTTCTTCATGTCTGGAAAGATATATTTTGTGCGTTTGCTTCTCTTCAATTTTGCGTAATCTTCCATACCTATGTGCAGCGAGAATGACCTTATTTTGTTGTCTTGGATCTTTTATGATTGATTTGCCCCTCTCAAAATAAACAGTCATTCCCATTTCTTCTATTTTTTCCACTGAAAAAAGGTTACCATCAAGATTAGTGACACACAGAACATTTGCTAGATGAATAGCATCTTTCCCACATTCTCTGACAGGATTCAAAACAATGTCTCCCATGCCAGAAACTTCAATTTTTTTCAGAATTTGCTATCTCAACTTGTGATTTCACTGAAGCTAAATTCATAAATTTCTGCTCTTGAGAACACATATGTTCAGTGGCTCCGCTATCGAGGTACTAATCACAGACAGGTTTCCCACTGCAAGAATCAGCAAACAGTGCTTGATATACTTCATTAAAAACCATTTTTGCATGTGAGGTTTTAGCAGCAGAGCAATTTTTGGTAATATGATCTCACTCCCCACAAGGAAAACAATGTGTTTTTCTGTCAGTATTTTTATGCTGTTTCTGTAATGGCTGCATAGTTTTAGTTCTGCAATTATCTCGAGTTTTGAGAGCTTTCTCTCTTATGACCTCACTGGTAGCAACTTCTGTTTTCACTTCTATGTAGCGCCGTAACTTTTTCTCTTCAACGATGAGATGCGATTTTATGATTTGAGTTGACAACATATGTTCTTCATGCTCTAAATTGAGGATAAGGCCTTCATATTCCTTGGGCAAACTCATTAACATAACAAGAGCAACTTCTCTGCCCGCAAGTCTGTATCCGCAAGACGGTATCTTTCGGTGAAGGTCCATTTTTCTCCTGGTTTTAAAGTTGCATTAAAAAGTTCCTTTAAACATTGTAGAGAATGCAAGAGTCTGAATTTAAAGTATCTCATGCTTCTTTTGCTTTTTCATAGTCAGTGATGTCATCTAAGAACTGGTCTTCAATCACTGAGATTAGGAAGGTTAAGGCTTTCTCATTAATTTTCTTTTCGTCATTCTTTAATTCAGCAACCATAACCTGGATCAATTGCTTCCAAACAATTTTTTTGAACTAAAACAGCTCATGCTCGGATTTTCCAAGCATTGTAATCATCTCCGTTGAGTTTCTGAATCTTAACTTCTTCCATCGGATCGCTTTCAACATGTTAGGCTTAACTTTGACGGCGCTGTGGATGTTGCTTCTTTTTCTTTCGAAAAATCAAAATTTCTTCATTTCTGCCAAATAAACTTCTTTAGAGCATATCGTGCTGATGACGTGATAGAAATCACTTAAATGGCAGATATATTTTTGAAATATAGTAGAAAGAAAT